CATTTAATAATCATTTTGAATGCAGTCACAAATACGTTTGAAAAAACTTATTTGGATATATTCGACACAAAATGATACTGTGAACCAGTAACTCAGGAAAAATAATATGTCAAGGAAAAATTTAAACTCTTGTAGTACATCAGTACTGATAACTCTCAGACGTCAGTACAAGGCTGAGTACACATCAGTACTGATATAATTTCTGATTTGTGCCCGCTCAAGCAGTGACATTATTATTTAAACCATTTGATAATCCTTTTGAATGCAGTCACAAATAAATTTGAAAAAACTTATCTGGATATATATGACGCAAAACGCTACTGTCAACCAGTAACTCAGCAAAAAAAATGCCAAGGAAAAATTTAAACTCTTGTAGTACATCAGTACTGATAATTCTCAGTCGGCAGTACAAAAGGCATAGTAAAATAAACACACCAGTGGATGACTCGAAAAAAAATCATTTTGAAAAAATAAAGCTATGCCTGCTCCTGCCAGTCCCAATTCAGAAACACCATCAGCACATGAAAATAATTACCTCAAGCAAAATGCGAATATAATACATCCTGTACTGGTGAAAATCTAATTTATCTGTAAAAAAATACTCACAGATTATCTTGATATAAACAATCCTTTAAAAAAATACGAAATTTGTTTTAAAAAAACATTAGCACCACACATAGTCTCACTGGTATTTGGTACGTTCAATTACACTTCAATCACCAGTCCGAGTACGACAGTAGAGGAGTTCAGACCTCCATCAACACCGACGCTGACACGTGCAAGTGGGATAAGCAGCTGATAAGTACAGCTTGACTATACGAATCGGTGCCACAGTAAAATGCCATCATCACCACCGCAGAGACGTGCAAGTGGGATTTGGCAGGTCATAAGTACAGCTTGACAAGACTAGTCAGTTCAACAGTAAAAACCATTTCACTTGGACGGTTAGTTCTTCCACGCCACCATCCGCGCCACCCACTGAGCAGTTGACACAAAGGGACTGCAAACGGTGACCCCACGCCACAACACCCACTACACACACGCCCCCGAACGAACCACCTCCCACAAAATCCCCGTCCACGCACTGCACAAAATCCCATTCTCTTCCACCTCTCCCTCGTTCACACAGACCACCATTGCCGCTTCCATTTCCACTGCACACAAACCAAAAACTTCTCTCTCCAAAGCCCACAGTCGCCAGAGGAAGGCCATGGCGGAGGAACCGTTCGCCAAGCGTCATCATGCCGAGACGTCGGACAAGAGGAGCAACCTCGTCGACATTAACGTCCCCGACGAGAAGCGCGAGTACACAACAACCCTCAAAGGGGTTGAGCTCCACGGCAACGAGACGCTGGAGATCGTCTGCACCAGCGTACCAGAAAAGGCCGACTAGGTGATCTCCAGGCTCTGGATGAAGCTTGGCGGCAGGTTTCGTAGGATCATCGGCATTGGTGTGCACTACACCAACGAAGATGAACCTCCCCAGATGGCAGCAGTCCTGCAGTTGTGCATCGACGAACTCTGCTTGGTGTACCACATCGCAGCGGCCACAAAATGGTGAGCAATCCTACTCATTTGCCCTGCATATGGTTTATCTGTTTTATTAGTACTGTATCCTGAAAAATTAATCACACTTGCTTTCCCAACTAGATGTACTAGTGTGGTTTGTGAAAAGTGGATGCACTACTGCATTTTCTCAAGTAGATATACTATAAATGTATTTTTGAACCTGATGCACTGGATAACTATTTGGAAAATCTTGCGGAAGATTAAATTCTGAAGTTGATCGACTAGTGTAGTTTTTGAAGTTGATACAATAGAGTAGTCTATGCACTCGATGTATTAAAAAAGATGTTTCTGAACTTGATGTAGTGAAGTATTTTCTGAATTTGATCTAATGTTATTTTCGTCAGAAAATAAACTAAGGACTTGGTGAAGCACTGGTTCTGTGTTATCCCATTTCAACCAAAATAGACTAAACTAGTACCAATGCAGAACATACAACATTGACTGAAACTATGTATAATCCAAGAAGAAGAATAACATGATGTACTTAATTTAATTTCAGAACTTTCTTTACTAGTTTTTGAAGTACGTCCATCCATTGTTTATCCTACATCAAAAACTACTTCATGGATTCATCGCTTGTAAAACAAAACAAAAATGAATAATTCAAACATCAAAGTAATGCTAATATTCAAAATGTCTCTGCCCTTGCAGGCCCAAGCACCTGACCGAGATGCTGCATCATGAGAAGTTGTTCACATTTGCCGGTTTCAACATTGTAAGTGACAAAGAGAAGCTGAAGTTGTCCGGTATGGAGATCAACCCCAACAAGTTCATCGACATTCAGCGCAAGTGGAGAGTTCCATACACCGGAAAAGAGTACCACTCCTTGACTGATGTTGCAGCCAGCGTCATCCACCCATTCTACAAAGGCATGAAGAACAAGATCAACACGCAGGAAGACTACAAACTATGGGGGACCAGCGAGCTGCCAGACAACCTCATCGAGTACGCAGGAGTAGACGCGTATGCCGCGTACAAGTCATGGTTCATGATCGACTATATCACAGACGGTTGGGAATATGCGAAAGAGCGGGAGGTTGAAAACTTCTACGACCGCCCCTATTGCCCCTTTACGGGATGAAGATACATCAGAGCCTGCCTTCGTTTTACTTCGGCTTGTGCTTGCCTTTTATCTTGTTGTTTCAAATTAGTAGTTTGCTCTTGTTGGGTTGAACCAGTGTGATTATGTCGTGCTTTTCATGTTTGAACAAGTTAAGTTATGTCATCAAGTACAATGTTTTTCTTATCTCATTATATAAGTTTGGTTTGGTAGCTTCGTATGTTGTTAATCCATCATTTCAAAATTCAAAAGTAGCTTCTGAATGGAACATTGTCGTTGCTCTAAAGTACTAGTTATGATGCAACTAATCACACAACGTTGTTCCATGTCAGTACAACTCAGTACACTTGATCGGACAATACATTCTTACTACAATAAAAAGTACAATGAAGCATCAGTCCGTAAGCGCTACTATGAATGCACTATTAGTACAACTCAGTCTACATGCAAGTACCATAGTTCTGAAAATGACACCAGAGGACACTTGAGAATAATCACAAAAAAACACAAAAAAGAAGGCAAAAAACTCAAATGAAAAAGATTACACTCACACAAAACTGACAAGAACTAGAACAAAAAGTATCAGTCCAAGTTACTGGTGGAGTCAAGTACTAGATTCAAACAAAAACAAAAAAATGACCGCCCAAGGTCAGGCGCAGGCCCTGACAATGCTAGATACTTGGAACTCGAGCCCGTGGGCAAATCCCTAGTAACCGCACAACGCAGGACCCGCCGACCAGGGCCCACAGGTCAAGAGAGAGGGCGAGCGCCATGTATAAGCGCTCAGGTAAGTGTTCATAGGAGTTCGACTGGTGAGCCTCCACTGCGCTTATAAACAGGTCCGGAGCCCCCTCGACTAGCGAGGTGGGACTAAACCCAGAGCGCACGTGCACGACGCACTGCACACCCGCGCGGACGAGCTATCTGGGCCAGAAAACGGCCCAATAGCCTACATAGTCAACAAAACACCCCACCATTAAGCCCAGGTATACAAACCAGAGGGCGGGACAAAGAAAAATAAACTACAATAAAAATGTTTGTCAATTAACCTCTACAAGAAAAAAGGAAAAAAATATGATACAAAAACAATGAACCTCTAAAAAAGAACAGAACTTAATAGCCTATCTGTTAAATGTACATAATTTAAAAAACCGAATTAAATATTACTTTCAAGTTCAACTACTAAAACTCAAAAAGCTCAAACATATAATGTTTGTCAATTATGCTAAATTTCTTATTTATATAAAATCTGACAAGTTCAACTACTGAAGCTCAAAAAGTTCAAGCATATAATGTTTGTCAATTATGCTAAATTTCTTATTTATAGAAAAACTGACAAGTTCAACTACTAAAAATCTAAAAGTACAAAACATATAATGTTTGTCAATTATGCTAAATTTCCTATTTATATAAAATCTAACAAGTTCAACTACTAAAAACTATAAAAGTTCAAACATATAATGTTTGTCAATTATGCTAAATTTCATATTTATATAAAATCTGACAAGTTCAACTACTAAAATTCAAAAAGTTCAAATAGAAATTATTTGTCAATTCTGCTAAATTTCTTATTTACATAAAATCTGTCCACACCACAACGAACGATCTGGTCGTAAAATAGTCTCAAACCCCCACCCCCAACCTAAGTTATAAAAAAATCAGTTCAAAACATGCATACGACATCAGTACTAAAACAACAGGATCAGTCACGCCACTCGCACCACTGTGACATCAAATTTCAAACCCGTGCGCTGTATGAAATTACAATTCAGTTCACACAGTACTAAAACATAAGTGCACTAAAAATGAGAATACAAAAACTATAAAGGCCTAACCTAGGTTGGTACAAATAAAAATAAAATAAGTACAAGTTTTGAGCAACAACTCCCAGCGCACTGAAAAAATGTTTTGACATAAACTAGTGTATAAAGACTTCAATATAAAAACAATGCTTAAACATCCACACGGAAAAACATCACAGAGCCATACGTCACCTAAACAGTGCAAAATGCCATCATCACCACCGCAGAGACGTGCAAGTGGGATTTAGTAGATCGTAAGTACATGTTGACAAGACTAATCAGTGGAGCAGTAAAAAACATTTGTCTTGGACGGTTAGTTCTTCCAGGCCACCACCCGCGCCACCCACTAGGTGGTTGCCACGACGCACTGCAAAAACGGCGACCCCCACGACCACTACACCCACGTCCCCGACGAACCGCCTCCAACACACCACCACCGACGCACTGCAAAATACCCCATTGTATTCCATCTCTGCCTCATTCACAGAACCACCATTGCAGCTTCCATCTACACTGCACACAAACCAAAAACTTCTCTTTCCCAAGCCCACAGTCGCCGGAGGAAGGCGATGGCGGAGGAACCGTCCGCCAAGCGTCACCATGGCGACACTTCGAACAAGAGCAGCAACCTCGCCGACGTTCACGTCCCCGGCGAGAAGCACGAGTACACCAGAACGCTCAAAGGGGTTGAGCTCCACGGCAAGGAGACGCTGGAGATCGTCTGCACCAGCGAACCAGACAAGGCCGACCAGATGATGAGCAGGCTCAGGATGAAGGGCGGCGGCTTGTATCCAAGCTTCATCGGAGTTGATGTGGAGTACACCGACGAGGAAAAACCTCCACCGATGGCGGCAGTCCTGCAGTTGTGCGTCGAGGAACTCTGCTTGGTGTACCACATCGCAGCAGCCACAAAATGGTGACCCATACTACTGTTCATTCATCTGTTGTACTAGCACTAGTCACTAAAAACTTAATTAAAACTTGTTTCCCAACTAGATGAACTACTATAGTCTATGAAGTGGATGCACGATTACATGTTTCTCAGGTTACATGCATTTCTGAAACTGTAGAGTGGATTGTTTCACCAGATTAGCATCTGAATTTTTTTTATAGCATTCTGAACTTTATGCACCAAATTAATTTCTGAACTTGATGTACTAGCATAGTTTCTGATCTTGATGCACTAGTATAGTTTATAGAATTGATGTATTAAAAGATCTTTGGTGAAGTGGTATAGGTCCATATCTTGATGCACATGTTTCTCAAACTAATTTTTGAACTTGATATAGAATTAATGCACAAAGATGTATCAAGCACTGGTATAGGTCTTTTATTCAACAAAAAAGAAAACTAAAACTTAAATCAAGCAGCGCATGAATCATTGACTCCGGTAAAATGATTCTCTAATTTGGTGAAGCATTTGGTGAAGCAACAAAGATAGCAAAAAAGAAAAATATAACACGGTGTAGTTGAATTTAATTTCAGGACTTTTTGTACTAGTTTCCGAACTACATTCATGCATGGCTCATAATATATAAGCATCTACCTCATGGATTATCACTTGTAAAACAAAAAAAGCAGAAGAATTAAGTCCTCAAAAAGAAGACTAATCTTTATAAAATGTGTGTCTCCCCCCTTGTAGGCCCAAGCGCCTCAAAGACTTCCTGCAGGAGGAGAAATTGTACACATTTGTCGGTTTCAGCATTGGAGGTGACAAGCGGATGCTGGGGGAGTCTGGTTTGGAAATCAACCCCAACAACTTCATCGACATGCAGCGCAAGTGGAAAGATCCAAAGACCAACAAATACTACGACTCCTTGGCCGATGTTGCAGGCGGCGTCATCCACCCATTCTAAGAAGGCATGAAGAAGAAGATGAAGAGGGAAGACCACAAACTGTGGGGGACTAGCCCACTGCCAGACAACCTCATCACGTACGCAGGAATAGATGCATACGCAACGTACAAGTCATGGAAGACAATTGACAACATCGTGACAGGTTGAGATATTTCAAAAGAGCAGGAGGCTAACCCCTACTACCACTGCAACTTCGCAGATGAAGATGCATGAAAGTCTGCATTCGTTATGTTGAACCAGCTACCATATGCTATGTGTGTCCTTAGTATTGTTGTTTCAAATTTGCAGTTTGCTTTCGTTATGTTGAACCAGCTACCTTATGCTATGTGTGTCAGGGTTTGAACAAGTTTGCCTATGTCTATCAAGTACATCATTTGCTTATGTCATCCAACAAGTTTGCTAGCTTCCTATTATGTTGATCCATCATTTGAAGTCGAAGTAGGTTGAAGTTGAAACTTGATGGCTACCACGCAGCACTAGTCATGGAGAAAAAAATAACACAAGAATATTTTTGCAAAAAAAGTGGCAGACTAACTAAGGACAAAAGCAAACAGTAGCCTTCGACGCTCAGTACAGCTTAGACATGAACGTTAGTACTATCACGCTAAAAAAATCAGTTTTTAGTTTCAGAAGAACTAAAAAGACTAAGTTTCAGCCGAGGACAACATTCAGTACTAAAAAGCATTGTCCTAAAAAGTAGTTAGAAATTCACTAAGTACTGCATCAGGAAAAGCAAACAAACACCAGTACGTATTTCCTAGTCACTAGCATGCTAGGACTGAAAGTTCTGGCACAGTTGAACACACGGTACATTCGTTCTACAAAATATATAAAAAGGAATGGGAAGCTTCAGTTTGCATTCCTTAAAATAGTGACATACTAAGAATTAATAGTGGCAATACAACTGAAATCTCAGTACAACTAAGACTATACGGCAAGTGCTAGGATTATACCAAACATTGCCTGGAGAAGAACCACAACCTAGAAAAAAAGAAGGCCAAAAACTAAATCAAAAAGATATAAGTTCGACAAAAGAGAAAAATCACAAGAAACACAACAGAAAGACGTACTAGCAACAAACAACACAAAAAATAAATAATTAATCAAAGTAATAACACAATTGAAATCTCAGTACAACTAAGTTTATTCGGTAAGTGCTATGGTGATACCAATTAATGCCTTGAGAAAGAAATAGTTTTGAACTTAATAGGACTATCTCTTAAACGTAGCTAATTTAAACTAGTACTTTAACTTTTACTATGAAGTTCAACTACTAAAGTTCAAGAAGTTCAAACAGAATTTTTGCTCCAAAATTTTAAAAGCCTTATGCTGAATGAGATTACAAGTCAGTACTAACAGAACTATATCATAAGTACATGAACCAGGCAACACGCGGGGCAGAACCAGGCAACACAACCTTCATAAACACAATAATGAAGAACACTTTCAGAGCAAGGTCATCTTTGCTAGGATCCTTGACGAGCACCTTGAGCTTATTCCTCAAATCCTTTGTCTTGATATCTTTGTTCCTGCTAATGTCAAGCTCTGATCTTAACTTCATCAGAGCATCGTCATATCCGTCCTCTGACGGCCCTGGCGCAGAACGACCACCATGAGGGAAACCAAATAATTGCTGTATACCATCGCTAGTGATGCGAAGCTTCTTATTAGCCTCACCCATGTCAAGAGTCATTGTATCAGAATCTATCCTCAGGTACAAAACTCCCATCAGAGGGCGGGAAATGTCAGACTTCACCCTCCACTTGAAGATAGAACCAAAACCAGATGCATGAACCCTAGCCACATGCCGACTCTCGAGCAATTTAGCACAATCTTCAACCTCTCTCAACGAACATCGCACAATTAAGTTCAATTTTCGTTGGTCACCTTTATCCAAGGCAACTTTTCCGGCATTGCATCCCACCGGCTTGACCGGACTCATAACGCTAACAGGCTATAAATGAAAACAAAAAAGCCACACCTTAAAAATGAATATAGAAAACAAAACAAGCATATGAATGCAAGTAAAAAGAAAAAGAAAGGATTGCACAAGTTCAACTATTAAAACAACATCAGTACCAACCCTCAATTGATGCAAACAATGACCAGCCTCACCTGGCCGCAATACCAGCCCAAACACAATTAAATCATTGCAAGTACAACTAGTAAGTCACATGCAGTACAAAACACATACCACTGCAAACAATGAATATAGAAAACAAAACAAGCATATGAATGTAAGTAAAAAATTAAATAAAAGATCGCACAAGTTCAACTATTAAAACAACATCAGTACTACCCTCAATTGATGAAAACAATGACCAGCCTCACCTGGCCAGCATACCAGCCCAAACACAAATTAAATCATTACAAGTACAACTAGTAAGTCACATGCAATACAAAACACATACCACTGCAAACAATGAATATAGGAAACAAAACAAGCATATGAAGGCAAGTAAAACAAAGAAAAGTTTGCACAAGTTCAACTATTAAAACAACATCAGTACCACAATCAAATAGATGCAAACAATGACCAGCCTCACCTGGCCAGCATACCAGCCCAAACACAATTAAATCATTGCAAGTACAACTAGCAAGTCACATGCAGTACAAAACACATACCACTGCAAATTCATCTTCTGAATCAACTTCAATATCATCTTCTTCAGATGCAGCATCTTCAGCTTCAACACGAGCACGCTTCTTCACACCTTTGTTCACCTTTGTAGGATGAAATTTACGCTTCTTATTTTCTTTCAACAAAGACCGCTCTTGAAGAGGAGAAGAAGAAGGCTTCTTATTTGTCAAACCTCATGGACTACGATGAACAGCGGAGCCACCAAGTTTGCTTGGACCAATTTTCATAGCAACACTATCCGCATCAGCTTTGCTACTACCAGGTTGGGGACCAACTTTCACACGTGGGCTACGCCTCTGTGTGCCGTCAGGATTTCGATGTGACATCTTCCTCTTCAAAACAACTTTCTTCTCCTTAACCCCATCACGATCAAACACTTGCGTCAACCGAGTTTGCATCAAGTTTATCTTCACAGGCATGTCACTTCCATGAGATCCGGCATGAACAGTTGAAAACCCCGCATCACCACCTTCATCGCCTACACATTTAGGAGCTTGAGTAACATCAACATCACTTTCTGGCACACAGGCAGCCTTTTTACGCTGTTCCAATTCCTTCGTCTTCTGGAATTCATACTTCTTCTTTCTTATCCTTTCATCCTCGAGCTGTAACTGCATAGGAACATCCTCATCTTGGGTAACAGGCTCAGTGCCATCAACACTTTGAGACTGAGTAACAGACAACTGCAAGCTGCCATCACCATCATCAACGTTAAGTGAATACATCCCATCATTAATATCTTTAACAACATCAGCAATGTCCTCTGGAACACAATGGCTGTCATTAACTGCATAAACCAGTAACATAACCACACACATAAAAAATTAAAACACAATTAACATTGCAGACACAAAAATAAATAAAGCGCATACCATCAGACACAAACAAAAAGGAGCAACTGATGGAACTAAGCATATATATGTATTAAAGGCTGATAAAAAAAGAGCAAATATAAGGGAAACACCAGCAACATTCACAAGTTCTTCTAGAGGATTTGGTGTCTCAAAAATAACATTCACAAGATCTTGAAAGCATTCTGATTTGTCAGAATCAGGAGGCACCGTCACTCCAACATCTGCAACAACATCATAATTAGCAAAAAAGTATAAGAGCAATCAATCAGTTCAACTATGTGAACACTACAAGTTCACCGAATAAAACAAATATGAACCCACCACTTGCAGAACAAACTTCAGAAAACACAACTCTTTCAACACCATACTAGTTCTTCACTGACTACTACAACCTATTCAAATGCCAGGACAACAGTTCAAAATACACATGGTGATAAGTACTACAACCTGTCTGCAGATTGCATCAACTACCAAAACCATACACACCATACAATCCAGGACAAAATTAACACATATCAAAATACATACAACTTATAAAGTCGATACGGCAACAACTGTACAACCTAAAAACCAGATCTGTTAAAACATCATCCAAAATACAGGGGAAATCACCTGCATTCAATTTGTCCGGACTGGATGATGTATCCATTGAGATCTACAGTCCTAAAATCTGCCGAACCAGATCTGCAAGACACATGAACAAAAATTAGGGATTTGAACTATTTCAGAAATGAAGCACGCCATACAAAAGCAAAACTCTTACTAGCAAACACAAAATCCGCCACGCAATCCAGTATCACTGCCGCCAAACGCTCGTTCAACAGCAAAGGAACCCTAGCGAGTGCAGCCTGGGACAGCAAAGAGAGCAACAGATTAGAAATAGAGAGAAAATCTGAACATAAGAGGATGCACACAAAGTCAATGGCAGAGCAAAAGGAACAAAACAGAGAACCCCGGACCTCCACCCCTGGGGTTGAACCCTCCGGCCGACGCTCCCGCGGTGAAACTACTCCCCCTACGAGAAGAGAAGAAGAGGGGAACGAAGACGGAATCGATTTGGGGACGGGACAACAGTGGAACGGGGAAGATCGGAGGTTAAAAGGTGAGTGGGAGGGTTAAAAGATGAGTGGGAGAAAACGGACGGCTAAAGCCCACAACCGTGGCGAACCCCACTATCTCTGGCCAGTTACAAAAGATAATACCAATAATCAAATATAAATAAAAAATTAATATAGATGGAGAAAACAAACGGATAAAGTACAAATAATAACTCACAACAGTACAAATTTTTTTATCAAAAAAGTAAAAATGAAAAAATAATTCATAACGGTTCTGGTTTTTCCCCTAAAAAATAAAGATAAAATAATGGGGGCAAGTCATGTTACGGACTCGCCTCCGCATGCGACGCCGCGGCACGCCACGTCGTCGCCTGCTACGGCTCGTTCCTGGCTCGGCCTCGCCGGGATGGGGGAGGGGGGGTCCCGACCCCCTCCCCCCCGGCTTGG